GTGGGTGCACGGAAATGCGGTGCTGTACCACGTCTGAACAATGAGGATTCTCTCGCAGACCTGCTGCTCCTCCAGGGCTCTATCTTCTCGGGACTCCACCTGCACTCCGCGGCCTAGAGAGAGCCAGGCCGTCCTCTGCCTCGCTCAGCCTCCCAGCCCCACGCCCGTCCCAGCAATCCGAATCTCTCGGAATCCGCAGCTCTTGGTGTAACGTGGTGTAGGTGTAACGCTCCTGCCAGGCCTCAGCCTACAGCCTCGGATGGAAGCTGGTGGCGGCACGAAACGGAAAGGAGCCGAGATCCCAGTCACAACACGGAAGCCGGACTGGACTGCCAGGCTTCCGCTGTGCTGTCCCAGTGAAATGAGACCCGGCTGCCCGTCGTAGCAGGGCTGCCCTAAGCCCACTCACCCCTCCGCGAGGCGGCAGACACCTGTCACTACCCACCCGCCCTGCGGAATACTCTACCGGTGCAGAAGATTCCTAAATGGTCAGCATGGACCTTAGGAAAAGATCAAAATTCTTGAGGTGGCGACAAGGTTGCCCCTGCCAGACGGTTCCTGGCCGGAGTGGACGACTGGCTGCACTTCCGGCGGCGACGCCCATTGCGGAGCACAGCTCCCCCCATGCGCCTGCCCCGGGCTCCAGTGACCCCAGTCACACTGACCCCGCTGCCCTTCCCCCAAGGCCTCCCTCTCTGGTAGCCAGCCAGTCTTGCAGAGTTGAGGTTATTTTGGTTGTTTTGCCAGTTTGTGTTCTTGGTTTATTTTCCACAAATGAGTGAAACCAGCTGGTAGCTGCCTTTTCCCTGACTCATCTGGGCTAGCCATTCACTTGATGGTTGTTCTCACTTTTTAACTCTTTCATTCATCATAGCATGAACATTATTTGCTTAAATACATTTTCGGTTCTTGGGTGTATGCACAGGAGAGGAATTGCTGGTTCTAGTGAACTTTCTGAGGGACCAAGCTGTTCGCCTGGCAGCTGCGCCACTGTACACACATCCTCACCTTTGACATCATCAGCACTGCAGAGCCCACGGGAGCAAAATGGCCTCGTCATGGTTCCTGTGGCGGCTTCCGGATGCCGAGGCGCGTTTCTTGAGCTGCTGGGCTGTTCGCCCACCTCGCTCGGTGAGGCATCTCACTCACACTGCGCTGCAGTGCTTCGTTTTCAAGTCATCCGATGCACACATGAGTGGTACTGGCAGCCTCGTTAGAGGTGAACTGGCCGTAAACACGGGCTCATTCTCGACTTTCCAGCTCAGGCCCTCAGTGCGTCTGTGTGTGTGCCAGGGCCACAGTCCGGAATGCTGCAGCTTTGCAGGAAGTTTTGAAAGAAGTCTGGGTCCTTCACCTTCCTTCTTTTTCACACCTGCTGCGGCTATCCTGGGTCCCTTGAATACCCAGACGGGATTTCAGTGTACCTATGAACGCTACCAGGGCGCCAGCCGGGTTGTGCCGGGGAGCACGTCTCTTCACGTGACTCGGGGAGCACTGCCCGCTGGGCGGCGTCGCGGCTTCCAACCCATGAACACAGGGAAGCGCTTGCTACCTTACGTCTCCCAACCTATTTTGTGGTTTTCTCCATACAAGCTTTGCATGTAAGTCCACTCCCAAGGAGGATTTGATTCTTTGCCGCTTTTGGAAACGGAATGGCTGCTTCATCTTCCAATAACCACTCAGTGGGGTGTACAGAAATACAGGCCTAGTGTTGCTGAACTCATTTGTTTGGATGGCTTTATCTGGGAACTCCTTGGAATTGTCTACAGATACGGTCATGTCACCTCAGGTAGGCATGGCACCTCCGGACATCCCTGTGTTGTCCCTGAACTGAGGGGGACCGCTTTCCCTGAGTAGGACCCCGGCTGTGGATTCCGTATGTGCCCTTTGTCACACTTAGAACTTTCCTTGTATTCCCAGGTAAAAAGGTGCTGGACCGTACCAAGTGCTTTTTTATGTATCTGACTTTTTTCTTCCTTTATCAACATGGGGTTCAGCTTCTTTTTAAGCTGAGACCTGAGGAGGGTGCTGGACACAAAACAGGGTGGGGGCTGTCTGGCTGAGGTCGGAAGTCTGAACCGCCAACCCAGCTCACTGGCCTCTCCCCTAAGAAGTCCTGGCTCCACAAGAAACAAAGGCAGAGGCCAGGAACAGCTGCGGCTCCCAGAGGTGTCGTGCCTTGTGGAGCAAGCCAAAAACGCTCACTGGGCCCGGCTCTAGGCCAGCATGGCCCTGGCCTTTAGCCTCGGGCGGCCTGGGTCAGCGGCCTGGCTGATTACAAGTCCCCACCACCTTACTGACAGCAGCTCCTTAGCGTCGTGTAAATTCGACATTCGGCGCAGGCCCGGGAGCTGCCCCACCTCTGAATGGGGGCTGAGTCCTGACCACTTGCCCCCTTTGGTGCCATCTTTCCACTCATGCAGAGCTACGGCTTCAGGGAAGCTCGCACCTCTGAAACCTTGATTATAATCAACCCAAGTACAGAGATGCAGTATCTGAAACAGATTGCAGACAGCCCACTGATTACTTTTTGGGAAGACTGATTAAGAAACTTTATTACAGAAAATGAATGCATCCAATGTCCCCAAATACATTTGTGACAAGAACAGACACACAAGAGACATAGACAACAGTTGCTACATCATAGCCTTGTTCTTTCCAAAGGAGAAAACATTCAAGAACGGAGGGAGAACAGAGGTGATTCGAGAAAGTAGGTACTGTCCTTTTGATTAAAAAAAAAAAAAATGCAAACACAACAGGTTGGCATTACAGGAACACATACCTTGGGCCCAGAAACCCAGCTAAGCTTAGGTGGTGCCACCAAGCCACTCGGAGGTCTCGGGAGCTAGGGCACGTCGTGCCACTAAAAGGGCGCTTGGCAAGAACCTGAACATCCCCACAGAGCCCCTTTAGAGTGAGACGTCTGCTCCATCACAGCGACTTTCTCGACAGCGTCCCCACTTGCTTGGTCCCTCTGGGGGTAAGCAGAAAACACCCCTTGAGCCCTGCCCTTCCGGCTGGCATGCCCAGTTCCACCAGAGCCCCGCTGAGCGCAGTCTCTACCCGACCTTCAACAAGCTTGGCCCCAGTTCCCAAATCCTAGCCTGGGTGAGGACAGATCGGGCGGCAGCTTTAGACCCTGCTTTCGGCGAGGATGCCATGCGGTGACTGCAGTGACGGCAGGGCCAAGCAGAAGGGGACCCCAGAACACGTGCTCCCAGGCAAGCGTCAGGAGCAGGCTTTGGAGCGGAACCCGTCGTGAGGTGGCAAGGCATGTCTGTCAGAGACTGGCCAGGGACGACCGACCGCTACCCACACAGACCTGGCAGGGTGGCCACCATCACTCCAGACATGCGCCCATCGGGGCTCCCTAGTCAGACAAGAGCGCTCACACCAGGAACCTCAACAGCTCCTGGCAGCACCCCTGTGCCCACCTGGAGGTCCACCCTATGGACACATCAGCCCCTCACATGGGACTTAACACCGTTCACCAAGGGTTGCCGTGGTGGCCGCACCCCTCACCCAGGCCTGGACAGACCCTGCTCTGTCCACCAACATGATGTAACCAGGAAACACCGAGCACACACGCACCTGTCCTCGAACACTTCACAACCTGCAGTCCCCAGGAGGGAGCCCCGGCCATGCCTAGCGGCCAGCCTGCCCCGAGCCCCGCCCCACCGGCTGCCAGGCAGCTCAGGTGCCTCCAGGCCCAGCGGCCGGGAAGAATGGCCACTGTTCCTCACCGCAGCCCCTGCCAGACTGGGGTCCGGGTCAGAAGCAGCCTGAGCGCACCACTCAACAATGCTCCCATGCAGGGACTAGAGCTGTGGGGGAGGGCGCGGGGGCACCAGAGGAAAGCCAAAGCCTGAATGTCCTGCCACCTTGCGGCCCGAGGCCTGGCCTGCCATCCGGCGATGCGTGCGGCAACACATGCAGGTGGGCCAAGGACAACCCCGTGGTGGGCTTCAACCCTCGCCGCACCTCGGGGCTGCTCCGCCTGCCTGCTGCGCCACCTCAGCGCCTACCTTCCAGGCTGTCTTCGTATCAGTGCCACTCAAGGCCTGCAGGCGCGCCAGCAGCCTCTTCATCGCCATTCTACGCGCTGCCACAGCAGGAAGCCAGCGGGTGTCCAGGGAGGCCAGTCGCCAGTTACGGTTTTACGGCTAACGCGGCTGTGCGGCAGAAACTTAGACTGTCAGGATAGAGAACCATTTAAGAAACGTAATACTGTTTATTTACTTCAAAAACATTTCAGCATTCTAAACATACAAAAAAATAACAAAATGTTGGAAATCGTTTTAGTAAAGGTTCTTGAACTTTCGCTGATGCAGTCTCTTTGCCTCGCCGGCAATAAAGTTCTGTTTGTTAACAAAACAGTTTCAAACTACAGCACTGAACTAAAGAAACCCAAACACTTCTCATGCCAGCTGACCCCTTTCCACAGCTAAGAGCGCTACGTCACTATGTACAAAATCAAGACAACCTGCAGCTACGCGGATGCCCGCTGCAGTGGCCACAGGTCCAGCCTCCCAGGGCGCGCCCTGCGCTAGGCCCCTCCGAAAGGCCCCTTCCCCACAGCCTCGCCACCAAGCCAGGAGCATCGAGAGTTTGTCTTTGTCCTTTTGTTCTTTGTACAAGCCAGAGATCTGTACAGTCGATAACCCAGGATTCCTAGCCAGTAACCAGTTCACAGCACCTTACAAATTAAAGAGAATGCCAGAAGACGCCTCTCAATGCCTGTCACACCAACAGTGAGTGCGCAGAGTGAGAACACGAGAGCCTGCTTAGAAATTGGGGAAATATGTACAACTTCGATACAGTTTCAGGGTGCTCCGGACACCCCCGGGCCACTTCATGTAAGCCACTGACAATTCCTAGAGCACTCTGAGCGACTACGAATGATCATGACCCAATGTGTGATTCAACCTAATGAGGGCGACAGACTCAGCTCGGATGGGAGAGGTGTCGATGGCGGCCCTACGCTAAGGTATTCACAAGGAGACAGAGCAACAGTTTTTTATTCATCCTCCTCCTCCTCCTCCTCCTCCTCCTCTTCTTCCTCTTCCTCCTCATCGTCTTCGTCGTCTTCTTCCACCTTTTTCCTGGCAACTTTAGCAGGACCCTTGGCGCCATCAAACTTTCCTTTCGACTTATAGTCAGCGACGTCCTGGAAGAACAGGGACACGGTGCAGGTAAGCAGACAAGCTCTCCTGCAGCTGCCACTGCCGGGACACAGCGACCCCCCATGACCCAAAGCCTGGGCTTCCAGAGGAAGCGGGCTGCCCGCCACTCAGAAGTCCCAGCTCACAGGTGGGCGAGGTGCCCTGAGGCCCCGCCACCAGCACGCACCACCATGCCCGTAGTTGTGCCCAACATAAAGCTGCCCAACGCGCACAGCAGCACTGGAGGCTGACGTGCTGTGGAGACTGCCTCCAGCGTGTGGCTGCCGACCCAGCCACCAGACGCCACAACCTAGGCACCCCGGCCGCACCCAGAGGTGCCGCGGGGCAGGGCTACCAGGCCACACCAGACAGCCGCAGCGCTGGGCCCAGCTCACCTTCTCGTACTTCTCCTTCAGCTTCGCTGCCTTGTTGTTGTACGGCTGCTTTTCGCTGTCACTTAAGTTATTCCACATCTCGCCCAGCTTCTTTGCCACGTCGCCGATCGAGATGCCCGGGTTCGTGGATTTGATCTTCGGACGGAATTCTGAACAGAACAGGAAGAACCCAGACCTTGGGAGAGAAGTGTATGAATGAGATGAGAACGAGTCCATGAGCAGTGCCCAGAGCCCTGTCGCTGAGGCCCTCCGGCCACTAGGACCTCCCCGAGTGGAAGAAGAAGCGTGTGTGCCAGCAGCTGACAGCCGCAGCCTGTGAAATGGTTCAGGTGCTTCGGCCAACACATGGGGTGTTCTGGTCTCCCAGTTAGTAGGCAAGGGGTGCAGAACACCCCCAGACCTGGAGCTGCGCGCCCGCGCCCCATGCTGTGTTGTGACCTCAACACGGGACACTTTGCAAAGGCACCTGGGTGTCTTGACATAAAGTGTCTTAAGAAACCCTTCACACAGAAGGCGAGGACGGAAGGCCAGCTAGCCTGCACCCTCTAGTCACTTACGGTGGCCGTTTGGGGGCATTGGGGTCCTTCTTCTTCTTGCCACCCTTTGCTGGTCCGTAGTCCTTCATTTCCCGATCATAGCGCACTTTGTCCGCCTTTGCCATTTCATCAAATTTAGACTTCTCCTTCCCAGACATTGTCTGCAAAGAACAGCGCCCGTTAAGCCCCTCCGCGCTGCAAGCACATACCTGTCACCCGGGGCTTCCGTGGCAGCTGCTTACTAAGCAGAAGGGGCTGAAGGCCTTGGCCTCACAGGGAGTCTTACACACAAATAAAAGGCCCCACCAAGAGCGCTAAAGCCAAGTGCGGCACCAGCTGGGGCCAGGTGGGGGAACGTCTGCCTGCCTTGAAATCCGCTGCGGGCCAGCGCCCAGGAGACCAAGGAAAGTACCTTCCACCTCTCCGAGCACTTCTTGGAAAACTCTGCGAAATTGACAGGGACCTCCGGGTTTTTCTTCTTATGCTCCTCCCGGCAGGTCTGCACGAAGAAGGCGTAGGCGGACATCTTGCCCTTTGGTTTCTTGGGGTCACCTTTAGCCATCCTGACTGTGAGGGTGGAGAAGAGACAAAGGAAAACAGTACCATGAGCAGAACGCAATCTCCACCCAGGCCAAAGGCAGGACAGCGCGAGTGACAGCCTTGGCCAGCAGCCCTCCCCACAGCCAAAGCAGGCAGACGCGGGTGGGGGGATCCGCTTGGCGCTTGTCATTTAACTTTTGACCAGCATGAAGCGCGCTGGCTGGCGAGTTACTTCTCCCGGGAGCCAGCAAGTTCTCCAAATGGAACAGACCCAAGTGGGGTGGCCGAGCGAGCGCTCCGCTGGGCCTGCCTCTGGGAAGGCAAAAGTGGGAGGGCGCGAGAGGACACATCTGCACGAGCTGCGGGCAGAGGACCACAACGCCATGCACTCCAGCACCAAGCACTCAGAGGCCGGCTGCTCATGTTTCATTCGCTCCAAACAAAAACACCAGAAATACCGACATGGCTGCGACACCCAAGAGCAAAGCCTCACCGTGAACAGGCAGCACCGGACATTTCGCTATTGTTGGCGGGTCTGCCTGATAAAATGGCTTTTGCGAGAAGGGTGAGCTGGCAAGTGAGCAGCCAGCCCACCCTCCCACTACGTTCGCTGCAATCTGTCACTTCGTCGTGATCTAAAGGGGGATGAGAGACCACGGGGCTGGCTCGGCTCGGCCGCGAGGCGGAAAGCGTGTCCTGCCAGAAACACTTTCTCCGAAGTTTCCAAATAAAATGCAGCCTCGACGCGCAGTCGCCCCGGCCCACCCCCCAGCTTCCCGCCATCTTTTCCTTTTCCCACACCCAAGGTCATCACGTAAGAATGAAGCGCTCCCC